AAAAAGTGTTGGAAGTGACATGTTGTGATGCACTAAATTTCAAAGTGACTTCATAAAAAGTCTTAAGAAATTGAACAAAAACCTTAGCATTTGCCCAATCTTCCTCCATTGGTGGTCCCACTTTTCTCTTCCCACCCTCTTCTTCCAAAAAGTATCCTAAGAACTTTTCATCCTCCTCTTCATATCTATCAAAAGCCTTTTGGAACTTAATAGCAATATCTAACATCATGTATGTTGAGTTCCACCTAGTTGGGACATCTAAAACCAACGAACCCTTATATTCAACTTTCTCTTGCTTCACACAATCTTTGAACTTTTGTAACCTTGCAGGAGAAGATTTGACATACTTAACAGCATTTTGAATTGCTGTTATTGAGCTATGCATCTCCTTTAGTCCTTCATTTACAATGACGTTAACAATGTGAGCAACACAATGCTGATGGAGAAATTCACCGTCCAAAACAGCGCCCTTCCACCCATTCACCCTCCGTTTGAAATAACTCAAGGCTGAATCATTGGCAGCAGCATTATCTACTGTCACCGTGAACACCTTTTCAAGCCCCCATCCATGCATACATTGCTCAATCAACCTCCCAATGGTTTCCCCTTTTCCATTTGGCATGGTACAAAAGTTGATAATTCTCTTTTGAAGCTTCCAATCAGAATCAATGTAGTGGGCAGTTAGACACATATAGTGTATGTTTTGCAAAGAAGTCCAACCATCAGTTGTAAAGGACACCCTCTTACAATCCTTGCATAAAGAAACTTTTAATTTAGCCTTTTCCTCACTAAACAATTGCAAAACATCTCTAGCAACTGTTATTCTTGAAGGAGGAATAAATTTAGGCTGCATCACTTGGCAAAATTGTTTAAACCCATCCCCTTCTACACTCCTAAAAGGCAGCTCATCCATGATCACCATCTTAGCTAAAGCTTTCCTACAAGCTTCTTTACTATACCCAATTGCCAACAAACCACTCCCACTTTCACTACTCGCACCAAAACTTAACAATTTCTGCTTCTTATCTTCAACTCTAAAGGGATTCTTTTTGCATTTTCTTAAATGAACCAACATGCTACTTGTCCCGTGCGTTCTAGAAATACAAGCATAGTCTTTCCCACAGTAATTACACACCCCTCTTTCATCACCTGTATTCCCCCCTTTCTTAATAGTAAAATGATCCCAAACCTCAGATTTCCTAATGGGCCTTTTTTTACCAGATGTCCCCTCATTCTCATATTCTAAATCAATCACATCTTTTTTTGGTGATCTAGGGGCTGGTGTTTTAAAAACCACGTCAGAGACAGGCAATTCGTTTGTTGTACGATTAGGGGATCGGGAAGATGATGCTACAGTTCCAGAGGTTGGGGTGTGGTTGTCAGATGATGATAGGAACTTGTCCATCCTAAACAGAAAATATAAAGCAAGCCATTCACATAACAGAGAGCATAGAACGTAAACCTTGAAATGTGCATAGAACGTAAAACACGCCATTCACATAACAAGACATTGGTGAAGTGTGCAGTATTCAATCTAACATGGAAGATAGCAGATTAAATTGATTACTGGATGGAATGCAGCTGTAAGGTACAGTTTTATCTTTGGATACAGAAAGGCCTACTACTCCGGTGTGGCAATTCTTTTCCTTTCATGTTGTTGTCTTTCATGTGTTATTGCCCACCCAAATAAATGCCTTAAAGGTTACTGATTGTGGAATAAATGTAGTTTGATTTATGTCCAATTCTACAATACGACAGAGATTGAAAAGGTAAAAAATAAAAATATAAAATAATAACTACAAGCTTTATCTTTGTGCCGCTTTAGGTTGCTCCTTAGTTCGGCTTAAAATAATAATTATACTCTAATGGACCCAATGCTCATTTCTAATGATTACTCTAAACAAATGTTATTTAAGCTTCAATTGAAATTTAATTAATGGGCAGATAAGAGGCCTTGGCACAATTAATGGGTCAGTGCCTAAATAATATGGGTTATAGTTTCTTTTGTTTTTGTAATTTATGAAGGCCCTGATGTCTGAGAAATGAGAATGGCCCCAGAAAA